AAAAGTATTCAAAACATCGCAATATTTTAAGTTTCGTAACAAATTATTTATCGCTTGAACCAAACACATTGACAGAAAAAAAGATGGAGGAACTGTAGACTATTATTCCAGTCACAACAGCTAATCGGATTCTGCCATAAAAAAAATTAAAACATTACAACAATATGTAGTGAGTCATAGATGACTAAGTGCGCGTGATATGATCTCTGTTCACTGGGATATTACTGTTGGTAATATTTCAGTATTCTGCAAAATTCTATAGAATCACTTAATAGACACGACTGGATTTGTATCTGTATTCGATACAAATGTATTATTAATAACTCTATTTCGGTTCTGGTTTTAGCCATTTTATTATATATGAATATATTATATATAATGTCTCTTGAGTTCTCCTTAGCACCAAGATATAGTTTTATTCGATTACTACTACAAGTTCTCATATTTTCAATAGTAATATCTATACAATTTTCTCTTAACATATAATAAATTCTCTAATCCACATCAAATAAGCACCATCCGCTCTTAGTCTTCAATGCAGAAGGCTGCTGTTAACCAATTAAGACTGCAGTCGTTAAGATCGATTAAGATCAATGTAGATCGAACAGACCACTTAAAATAATACCTTATATCTATTGATAAACTCAACACAGAAATAAGGCAAATGTGCACGAAAGTTTTAATACCTACCTACCCTAGATATTATAAAAATTAGATATTAGATAAAAATTAGATTAGATATAAAATAAATTACATAAAATTAGATAAATAAGATATTATAAAAATTATTTTGATTATGTTAGTATCATTTTTCTTAAATTAATAAGTAAAACCAGAGAAGTCGTATACAATTAACCAAGGAGTCAAATCAGGTATATTAAAAAATGGTTACAAAAAATCACAATTATACACAATTTTCGAACTCATTTAATCTATCTGGGAATCCTTTTGCAAACACCTAGATATATCAAACTTAATTTGCAAATTGGGTAGTAGTGATATTATCAGAACGATCTTACCTACACAGGAACTGTCCAACAGATTATTGGATATGCTCATATCTCTTATAATACTCTTCGGTATACGTTGTTTCAACAAAATTAAAACAAATTAAGGAAAGAATAAAGACATGTCATAGATTCCATAATCTGGAAATCACAATTGTAGTGCGCTTATTGTGAGACTAGTGTTTAATGCAAGGCATCAATAAATAAATTAGGAAAAGTATTTCTAGAAAACCGATTGCTGCAAAAAAATTAGGATGAAAGGTATAATTTTGACACCAAACTTAATCTCAGTAATTCAGTAACATGAAGATATTAACGCCTGTTGAACATTATTTAATCTAATCTTAACTTACTCATTAAGAAGATGTTTGAATAATCAATTTTCAGAACAAAGTATAGAGCTATAGGAAGAAAAGAAGAATAATTCCACCTCTATTTTCAGTTATCACTAACTAATCAATATAACTCGTTATAACCACTCCTCTTGTATAAGCATAAATACATATTTGTAAGATTAAAGAAAATGCAAGTTATTTGTATTATAACACAAAAATTTGTCCATTGAACAGTGTATAAACCTTAAAATGATCGTGTTTACTTAACTGAACGCACTGCCGAAAGTTTGAGACTACGAATTGCCATCCGAAGTAATTTTTCATGTCAAGTAATAGTATAAGTAGCTGTGACATCCGATTTGACGCTCTCCAATCGTTTTCATTTAGGCTTGTTTTCAAATTCAATGCGACTTATTATCGGCAAAATATTTTCGAAGTTGCTTTAGAGCCGGGAACACGCAAACATTTCGGTCGTGGGCTATGGATGTTCCAATTAGCTTCGTCACCGTATCATAAAGCTCGTGTGAACCAAATATAGTTAAAAACTCATGTTCCACGTTTCATTTCGTCCACACAATGCCAGATGCAAAACTGATGGACTATTCCATTTGGGCCATTTTGGTGAGCAAGGTGAAAACTAAAAAATATGCCAGCATGGATGCGCTGAAAAAAATTATTGTTCATTGTTCAGAAATAGGCCAAAATACCGGAAGATTAAATTCGTGAAGAATGCAACTCATTTTTTAACCGGTTGAAGGCTATAGTCAAAGCAAAAGGTGGCCACATCGAGCTAGGGTGAAGGACTTTTTAAATTTTGATTATTTCTACAAATTTTTGTAATTAGAATGAATAAAAAATAATTTCACACAAAAAAGAGATGGTCGCTTGAATAGGTAACACTTTCATCGCTTAACCCTATAAATGTGCGAGCATTAAACCTGTCCTTATATATTATATAAACTATGATCTGAAATATGTATATAACATTTTAGGGCATATTTGAAAATCTCTTTTGAATGGTGTATTTAATAATGATTAGAAGTAGACGGAAAATAAAAAAATAATAATGAATACCGTCATACATTTTCTCTAGATGCAAGAAGTTGGATATGACAGTCAAACAAAGCGATAGAGTGAAAATGTAAAATTTTGTGGTGACACGTTTATGGTAAGTAGTGGAGATAAAAATTTTATTAGTCATAACATTTTATTAGGCATTAAAAAATAGTGGGGGTATTCTTTATTTAGTTTACCTTAAGACTGTTATTGCTGCGGTTTTGTATAGCTTCTATCATATTATTAATGACCTTAGACCTGTTTCTGCTTCAATCAAATATTATTCAATTAGATATAAGTATTTTTAATATATAAAAAATTATCAGTACAATTCAGAGAATATTAAATAAGCAAAAAATAAGGAATGGTCTATAAAAACTCGAAAGTATGGTTTAATACCAGTTTTAAATATCCATTTAACATAATATATTAATAAGATATACAGAAAACTGTTAAACTCTATTTTCAATTAAGTGTATTTTTGTTTGAAAAAGTATTAACTATTTTTTTTAATAAATTTTGCAATAATTAAAAAGAAAAACAATAACATAGCAATTGAAACTGAAACTCATTTACTATTTGTTAAGCAATTACATTCTGTTATTAGTTATTTAAATTGTACTAAGACCCATGTAATTTAATTATTAAAATGTTATCTTTCATATCATGAGAGTTTTCTGTTATAAGCCAATTTTATCTGCTGATACTATAAAAAATTTAATTCTACATAATCAATTAAAAGTAATTTTCTATTTCATACATATTAAATATTTGTAATTAATAGATAATTTTGTTATCAATATCGATAAAAGTATTGTTATGAGTTTACGAATTTCATTTTAATATCAAAATAATGTTTGAGAGCAACTATTTACACAACAAACTTTATTTCAGCGGTTCATTTCATAACTAAAAATTCATAGTGTTTTATTAATGTATTATTGATTTAACTATCACAAGGCTGTAAAACAATTGTAACATTTTAATAAACGAAGATGTCTAGGCCGTCTACCACAACTACAACCACCGAAATAAACGCTAATAATTTGTCGAAAATACCTCAATGGCTTAATAAAGAATTTTTTAAACCGGCATTTAAACAGGTTTTAAACTTTAAAGAAATAAGTTCTATAATTCCAATCACAACTGAAACACCTGATAAAACTGTAGCATCTGATTTTATACGAGTTCTCTTAGAGGTCAAATTAACAGGTAAGAATCATATTTTTATTTCTATCTCATTTATTTCTATCTCTTTTTAATTTTTTTTTCTACTCAACATAAATGGAATATAACGAATAATTTAACAATCAAAAATTAAAATTGATATTTTTCACATTTTTCACTTTATTTATTAATAACCTCTATTCATATTTCTCACCTATACCCGCTCTAAACTTTATACTGAACAAACCAGTTTAACTACAAACATTATAAAAATTTTAGATAATACCATAGTTAAAACAACTTATCTACTAAAATCCGATAAATTATTAAATACAAAGGAGTCTACTGAACTACAGCCTAGTAACACCTTTCTGAAGGAAAAACATATGTACTTACATATAATACCAGTATTAACAAAAATGTACGCATCCATCAATGGTCTAAATATTAAATTGGCTCCATTATGCATGCAGCTATATCGACTGAAGATGCCGTTTTAGTTCTGGAAGATTTCAGCAGAAAAAAGTTCCATAACGTAGACCGCTTTAAAGGTTTCGATATGTTACACATGCGTTGGGCTTTACGGAAGTTAGCTGAGTTTCATGCAGCTACAACAGTCTATTGTGAAACTGAAGGCCCATATCCTGATTTATACCAGGAGAGTTTCTGTAATGCATCCAACATACGTATGGTAAAAAGAATAACGGAGAAACGTCAATTACATTTTCGAAATGCAATGCGCCAGTGGGGTTTACCACATGTTGAAGACTTTATAAAAAAAATGCCAACAATTAAAGATTATATGGAAGCAGTTTTGAACTCAAATAATGTGGATCCCAATGAAATTAATGTGCTTAATCACGGACAACTATTCAATACAAATATTTTGTTTAATTATAATGAGAGTGGCGTTATAGATGAGGCAATATTCATAGGCTTTCAACACTGCAACTATGGTTCACCAGCTCAAGATTTGTGGCAATTAATCATAACATCAGCTGAACTTGATATTAAAATAAGAGAATTTGATCATTTTTTATTTATTTACCATGCACATTTAATTGAATGTTTAAAACTTCTAAAATATGAAACTGAGAAGTCCTGGCCGACTTTGATGGATATTCAACAGATGATGTTTAAATATGGATTTTGGGGTAAGAGAGACTTTAGTTTCTTTTAAAAATAAAGAGTAAGTTTCTTACTTTTCTAGGACCTATTGCTGCAAACACTACACTTTGCAATTTGTTGTTGCCAACGAGTGAACAGTCTTCTTTTGAAAATATGTTCAGACCTGGACACGAAGGAGATATTTTACGTTATAAAAGTTTTACTAACCCTCATTATGCCAAAGCAATGTGTCAACTAATACCATTTTTTGCATATAAGGGTATATAATATTAACGATTGTATTTTTTATAGTTTTAAAAATTATTCTATTAAATATAATATATGTATAAATTAAATTAATTATAATAATATTAACGAATAATTAAAAATATGAATAAAAACGAGTTGCGAATAATTTCACACTACAAAAATATTCTTAGAAAATATAATTTTTTGTAAATGAAACTAATATTTTAAAAAGCTAATTAAGATAAACAACTGGTGTAAACTATCTTAGATTAAATAGAAATAGATTAAAGGTTTGGTATGTTTAAAAAGTGATATGCAAAAAGTATCTATTTAATTTAAGTTTAATCTGTTGGAAAAATAAGCACACGTATTATTCGCATCTTCTGAAAACATCTCAGAGCTACACATATTTTATTTTATTTTATTTTATTTTCAACTAATAAATTTCCTACACTACTCTCGAGATTTTATTTATAAAAAATTATTAACACAAAATTGAGATATTTAAAAAATCTTGAAAGTTTTAAAAGTTTTCTCACGAAAATAATATTTTTGAAACTAAGAGAACTACTCTCCACACTACAATTCAGCTCTTCAAGATTTTATCAGATAATATTTGAAAGCTCCCGATAAGCATAAAAAATGCTAATAATATTATTTAAAATTAGTTTCAAAGTAGCTCTTGATAGTGAAATTTCTTTACGGTCTACACTAACAAAATTTTGTGATAAGTTCTCAACAAATTATTACCAATAGTTTTTACAAAAGATTTACTAATATTAATATTTACAATGTCTACAAACGGTGATATTAAAAATCCGAATGAAAATTTAAATATACCAGAATGGATCTGCGCTGAACACTTCAAAGCTTTATGGGAGAAAGATGTGCCTGATTATGTTAAAGTGTTAAAATTTACGCCCGTAGCAGCGATACCCCCCGGTGAAAACTTCACCTCAGTAATGATAAGACTCTATGTGGACTTCGAATTAAAGGGTAAGGTAAATCAATTTCTAATACTTACGAATATTTCATTTAACCTAATAATTTCTAACTTCTTATAAATAATAGATGGTACTACAAAACAAAAGAGTTATGTGCTCAAAACTATGTTAGATGAAGATAAAGGCGGACGTGAAATAAATCAAATGAGTCTCTTTCCCAAGGAAAAGATAATGTATGAAAAATATTTACCAGCATTTGAAGCACTTTATGTTGCAGCTGGAAAAAAGGTGCAATTGGCACCACAATGTCTCTTTATAGAAAATTTAGATGAACGCATTAATCTAGTATTTGAAGATCTGAAACCAAGAGGTTATCAGAATGTAGATCGATTGAAAGGTTTCGATATGGCACACATGAAACGTGTATTAGAAAGATTAGCTGAATTACATGCAGTTTCCGCGGTGTATGCGCAGAAGCATGGACCATATCCAACAGATTTCCAGTACAGTTTTTTTAATGCCGATAAAATAAATGAAGATATGAAGTTTATGTACACAAATAAAGTTACAACTTATAAAGCAGCAATGGCAAAATGGGGTTTAGAAAATGCTCAAAATTATATTGATAAAATAGTAAGTAATACTCGTAATACTGTTATATAAGTGATTACTTTCAAGATAGAAATAATTGACTTTACTTTACAACTTAGCCCACCTTTGAGCAATTTACTAAAAGTGGCATGGCTACTTTGGACATCGATGTTAATGGCTTTAATGTACTTACACATGGTGATTTTTGGTCTAGTAATATTATGTTAAATTATTTACCAGATGGCGCAATTGATCGATTACTTTTCGTGGACTATCAAATTTGTAAATGGGGTTGTCCAACCGAAGATTTGGTCTTCTTTATTAGCATATCAGCTGCTAAAGACATTCGCTTAACTGAATACGATCATTTCATTGAAATCTATTATGAGTTTTTAATAGAAAATTTAAAACTTCTGAAGTATAATGGAACGCTACCAAAATTAAGAGATTTACAAATGGGAACTTACAAGGCACACTCTACATTTTATGGTGAGTAAAATTATTATATATAATATTTTTTTTCTATTATTTTTCAATCTGCTTAACAATAGAAGATTTATTAACATAAAAAATATATATATTACAATGTCTCCAAAATATTTATGTTAATAATATTAAATCTTAAGTTGACTAGAAACTTCATAATGTGAGAGAGAAGTAATTCGAGCTCCCATTTAATTCAAAATTTCATTACGCGTTAGATTGGATCATGTTTTCTTCTCATTGACTTGTATTTAAAACAAATTGATTTTTTTTATTTTTCTTTGGTTAAAATTCTCGGTTAAATCTATTTGGATTCTTAATCTAATATATTCAAATTTTCATTCAACTGTACGCACTTGTGTCAAATTAAACCGCTATAACTTTTATATTTATTTCCATGTATTATACAATAATTATAGGTATATATATATATATAATATATATAGATATAATATATATATACATATACTTAAACTAATCATAATTCGTTTCTACATACATATATATACCATTGTAAATAATAGTAATGTTTTTTAAAAATAATTTAATTTAAACTCTTTAATTTTAGCTTTCATGGCTGTCTACAATCATCTGGTTGCCGTACTATTACCGACCGATAAGGACAGTAATATACACTCACTGATGCGAACAGATGAATTTGGAGAACAATTTCGAATGCGAACTTTTACGAATCCCTTATATGTCGAAGCTATGAAGGATCTCTTTCCTTTCTATCATAGACGTGGAGTACTCAATTTTGAAGATTTTGATTGATAAAAAAGATTTTATTTTTTAGTAGAAAAATAAATTTACAAATTATATGTAACTGTTTGTAAATAAATAGTATTAAAATCTTTGTAATTAGTTATTAGAATTTTAAAGTCATTATAATAATAATTTATAATAAATTACAATATATCTAAAAATTTATCACAATTGGTGATAAATAATTGATTAAAAACTAAAACTCAGGCTTGTATAATCTGTTTTGTATAAAGATATAAACCTCAACTGTAGGACAAAACTCAAGTTAAAGGTGGGTTATCTGATGAAATAATTTACGTTACCATTTACACAGAAAGAATTTATCTTAGGTGACAGATTGATGTCTTTGCTTGAAAGAGATGAGGTTTCTAGCCATATACGACTTTGCATGATCTTAAACAGTTAGAAGCGTAATTCTTGCCATAATCTAATATAATAAACTGTTTAACAAGGGACGTTCTAACCTTCATTTAAAAGTTAAATGTCTTCTATTAGTTCAGTGTCAGTTGTACGTCTACTTTGGACGCAGTGATCTGCTATATATTTAAATCTTATCTAATCTTAAAAGTATGGTAAAGCGTTATTTTCGTGATCATGATTTGGCAGCATAGTTTTGTTAACATATCACAGACAAAACTATAATTCTAGGCATCACATGTGAGTTTAAGATTTGCTATATTGCAATTACATATATGCTGAATGTATTACGATCTTAAAAACTAACTACAAAAATTGTGGTGATTTTTGCATTGAATAACTTAAGTGATGATATATCAAACGAAATTGCCGTATCAGGGGCAACAGAAATCTAAAATTAACTTCTGAAACAACACTTCACAAAAAATCACTATACGATAAGGTGTTTGGTTTAAAAGCCCCGCACATTTTGAAAAATTTCAAAAATGTGACAAACTGTTGATTCTGATCGCCATAACCACCCGATTACCAACTTTTATGGCGTAATATTGAAGATATTGAATATATGGATGTGTACAAATGTGATTTTAAGAGAACGATGCCACAAACCACACAACACATCTTTTTTGATTTATTACTTGAGAAAGTGCCGCCAAGCCACTAAAATTATGCATTTGTCACCACTACACTTTTTATTAGGGATTACGCAAGGAATAATCGTCACGCAATTGGCGCTTTGAAACATTACGATCATCATCTAAAATAGATGACTCTTTAGTTTCAGAAAGCGAATATTTTATGTGTATATGTATATTCTATGAAATATTTAGAAATTTAAAACTTTTTCATAATTAGTTTTAGGAAAGTTTTGAAAAGCTATATGTCTATCTACAACTGCACTCGTCACACTGCTCATATCTGACTCATATCATATATAAGCACAGAAAATAGAGAGCTAAAGATTTTGTTATGTATTTAAAACTGGATTATCTTATATATAAAATTAACATTGTCAAAATGTTAGTTACCGTACTCCTCCGAAACGGCTTTACCGATTTTTATCAAATTTTATATGCGTATTCAGTAGGTCTGAGAATCGGCTACTATCTATTTTTCATACCGCTAAAGTGATTAGGGTCTCCCTATCCAGCAAAAATATTTTTATTGCTTTAACAAAAATTATTTTATTTTTTTGACATAAATTTTTTTATATTTTTGAAAAAGAAAACTTGCTATGATATGAAAAGTTGTTGTCTATAAAAATACTGAATTCATAAAACTGCCCCCTAATTTCTGCACTATCGTTGATTCCCAAAATGCTCTCATTGACCGCGTATTTCCAGATGTACACATACAATACATAAATCATGGGTGGCTGGCAGAAAGAGCCATTAGCAGCAAAAAAAAAGTGGACGTTGATGAATTAAACTTCAAGATAAAACAGACATTGCCAGGCGACTTAATATCATACAAATCGATCGATACAGTATGTGATACCAACGAAGTTGTAAACTATCCAGCAGAGTTGGATCCCCGATTATTTTACTTCGGAATTTGAACCCACCACTGCTATGCAATAGTAATGGTAATGTAAATGCTCCTTTAATGAACAAAAACGGTGAAATTACGCTCTACCAAATTGGGCGGTACATCAGCTCCAATGAAGCTGCTTGGCGTATTTTCGGTTTTCTAATTCATGAACGGGATCCAGCAGCTGTTCAGTTAGCCGTCCATCTTGAAAACGGTCAGCGTGTATTTTTCACGAATGAGACAGTGATTGATCGTGGTACAAATCCACCTAAATCTACACTCACTGCATTTTTTGAATTGTGTAATAGTACGGATGATTTTGGTGCCTTTGCAAGAACTTTACTCTATTCACAAGTACCACGCTATTTCACATGGGCTCAAACACAAAAATGGATGCCCCGCAAGCAAGTTTCACCAGTTGATGCATGTCTCAATTTATTTAAATCGAACGCTATTTACAGTTAATCCAAGACACACTGAGTGCTTTTATCTTCGACTGTTGTTGGTTAATGTTACTGGCTCATTATCATTATTATTATTTACAGTTAGTCCAAGACAATTTAAATTTGAAGATACAACAGTTGTTGCCAGGGAACTTGTTATCATACAAATCTATTGATTTTAAATTAATAATTTAATTAATAAACTATAATATCTTAAAAATAATATTGTTTGGCGTTTGTTATTTTTATTTTCCTTTTCGTTCATAGCGCTCCATGCCTATTTCATGCATATACCACATACTTACACACTTATAATAAGTAAGTTGCTTTTTGTCTACACTAGAATTTATCTAGAAACTAGAAATAATTTATAAGGCAAAACAACGTTTGTCGGGTTATCTAGTATTATATA